CACCCCCGACGTTCACTCTCCGTCCATCAACCTAGCCAACCTGCCGGAAGAAAACCGGAGCACATGAGAAAACAGCAAGCATATTGTAGCATGTTCATGAGGTTAAGAGCGTGCCGGACCTTTAGTGGATTTTTCACCCTGGACGGCCAGTTTGTCCAACAATTCGGCCAGGGCGTGCTGTTCATCTAAGAGTCAGTGTGGCAGTCCGCAATTCTCTCTCCTGGTAAGAGCCCGCATGGGATCTGGTTGTGCTGCGTGACAGACCATGCGCAGTACGACCTCGGTTCGTAGAGGAGCGTATAGTAGTCCGTTCGTTGGCCTGCGCACCGCGGGTCCCTCCGTTGCTCCCGCCCTTCCCATGGCCTTGGCAGGCTCCCCCTCTTTCACGGCCATCCAGCGTCCGACAATGCAGCATAAGACGCAAATACGTTGCCGACAGCTGCCCCACCCGATCCTGAGGTGTTGCTTTCTTTGGATGGCTTGCAGGGCGGGGTTCAAATCTGTACGGCACTTTACACACATCTGCCCCCTCTGCGTATCTCCGGAGGCCCTCTGGCGCAGCATGCCGGGGCGATGACGAGATCCTTTAACCGATGTTTTGGGATGATAGGGGCCTATAGCAAATGTAGTATAAGCAAGGACTTAGGGCTATGTTCTCCAATCTGCCCACAGTATCTGCATCGAGCGGTGAAGATTATCTGTCATCCCGCGTGGACGACGAATCATGACGACACAGCTGAAGTTAACCGAACAAAGAAGCGGGGCAAGACGCTCCCAGCCGGCTGGCACCGGGTCCCTTCTCCTTGGGTACTTTTTGTGGGCTGAGGGAGCAGGATCTGGTCGAGGCTGAAAAGCCACATGGCATCGCGGCCACCCGGAGCTGAGTCGAGGTTACAACAAACAATTACCAGCACAATACCCTCGGCAAGGCGCGGCTGCTAAAGGACGGCACGTTCGCGAAAACATGGTACTGGGTCGTATTCATCTTTGTTTTGCTTTTGGGGGCTTAGTTACTGCTACGGACTGCCTACTTACATGATGTAGGGTGGCTTTACGGATAGTTTGAAGGAGTGCTCATTTTGCTAGTTACTATCAAGGCTCCGTGCAATAGATTAGCTGCAGAATGCCTCTCAGATATGCCACTAATAACAGCCAGTTTCAAGGGAACGGGGTTGAAGACAGCTGTGGGCCGTGGAAAACAAGCAAGCTTCTTCGCATGGTGCAGCCGAGTTTGCAGCCACCTGTCAGATGTGAACGAGAGTCCATCACAGATATTGAAACAGCTGGAAGTTGTCTTTAACAGTGCATCACAACCCGGCATTGCCCTCGTTTCCAGCTGTCAAACGTCGTCAGACTGGCGATCTCTGGTCGAGATCTGGGTCCCAGGCCCAGGCCTCAGGGCCTTGATCCACGACCCAACAAATCGGTCAGTGCTGATCCTTGCGGGTGGCTGTCCCAGCGACCCATTCACTTGGGTTTCCCGACCGGCTAAATGCAGGTTCAGGGGTTGGTTGACTTGCAACGGCGCCTAGTGCACATAGCGCTGACTTCCCATCCCCAGAACGGCGTACGTAGCGCACCGTGCGGCGACAAGTCCCATGCAGCTTCAACCCAGAGAGGCATAGGGGCACTCTGGTCAGCAGGTAGCTATCAAACGCTAAGAAGCTAGTGCCAGCAAGAAGTCGTTTTGAAGCAATGTTTTTTTTTTCTCAGAAAAAAAGCTGTGATTTTCTTGGGTTGCAACCAGCAATCAAAAAGGACATTAACAGCGAGCGCCGCGCAACAGCATCCTCTCCAGACTGCTGGATGCTGGAGTGAGCCCGCTGCAACCTCTCCAACCCAGTTTGGAAAGCAAGTCGCCGCGCGGAGCGCTCCACGTTTCGAAGGGTAGCATGGTGTCTGTCGATGGAGCTCGAGGAGCGGGGCAAAGTTGCATGGACGGGAGATCGCCAAGTCTTTTGGTATCGAATAGAACTCGTTTCCTCAAGTACGGATTGTTTGGTTTGGCACCTCCGTCTCCCCAGCTATGAACGCAATCCGGGCCAATCATGTTCTTGAAACCATGACAAAAAGCAGCGAAGACACACAACCGGGTTTGCAACAGCGGGATTGCATACGACAGCAAAATCCTATTCTTGGATATCTCGACGTACATGCATGCCTTGGCCTGTGGATAACAAGTCAGAGAGAAAGAGAGAGGTAGAGGGAGAGAGAGAGAGAGAGAGAGAGAGAGAGAAACAACCTGTTTCACGATCACCAGACGAACCAAGGATTGGTCCGAAATAGTATGGTTCTTGATGGCCGCAGCAACTCTGGGTTGATTTTTATTAGCATGCTTTGAGCTTACCTTCATCTAAATTTTCTTTGTCTAAAGTTTGTCCAATGACGTTGCGCTCCAACGAACTGTCCCCACGTCATGCAACATGCAGCAAGCGAAGACTGATGAGGGGCAACGCTCGCCTGCCCCTCTTCCACTCAGCCTCGCAAGTCTTACGGTTAACACTTGCTTTTTCCCTTCCTTAGCGGTTCCATGTTATGTTTCGCCTGCCTTTAAGTTGCTGCTCTTGCCTGGGGCGCTGCATTGATCATAATGCTGGCTGTGCCACGAGGGTTTTTGTAAGATCTTACGGACGCCTCGTCAGGGTCATCTCCAAGTCCAAACAGCTCATCAGCGTTGCTACGGAGTAGGTAGCATCACGGCACGTACTGTCGCCCTCAACACCCCGTCAGCTGCGCAACAAACAACGACAACTCAAGATGCCGACTGTTCGGACTCTCATTAAAATGCCGAGTCAATCCTTGCCTCTCTGTTTACCATTGCAGCAAATACAAGGTAGAGACCAAATGAAGGCGGTCTTAGTCTCTGAAGCTGCTGTGTAGGCTACTTTTGAGTTCGACGAACTTGGGGTGGCATTCGTAAAGGTGGCAGGCCCCGCCGGAAGCAGCACACGCGCATGCCGGAATTACAACGGTACATCCAACGACATCGTGGTGGATGGTGGATGGGGAAAGCCGCTGATGGAGAGGTGGGCTCTGCTGTCCCGCGCAGCTGGCCTGCATGATCGTCCCGCTGACCGTCGCATTCCTATTCGCCAGCCAGACCGTCATTGCCTCGCCCCTAGTGTTGGCGAGCCGTGCCCAGGGAGCTGAGCTGACACTGCGACAGCAGCAGCCGCGGGGTGATCAGTGAAGTAGGCTCGTAGGCTCGTGGCCTTGCAGCGAATAATCTGCCCACACGTCTCCATCCTTCCCTCGTGGCCCCAGGTGAGCGACTCGCAAACTGGACACTCTTACCCTGGAGCGATTCCGCAAAGGAAGAGCAGAACGCAACGGGGTGAGACCCGTTCGACCGGCGGCCACCTACGGTAGGTTTCTTGCTGGCTGACAATCAGTGGATGGAGTGTTAGCAAGACGGCCGCTTGCACTCCTGTCGGCGGGAAGAGTAGCAGATGATCTCGATCGTCAACGTTTCGTCTTCGCCCCATCGCCATCATCACCGTCGTCGTGACCCGCCAACGGTTGCGTCCGCCACCTGTCGTGGCCAATGCCCCGTTCAATCGACTCGAGGCTCGTTCCAGCGACTCGGGCTCCTCCCACGATGTGGCTAAAGCCCGACTCGGCGACCTGGGACCGGGAAAGGGAGCGATCCGCCCGCCCAAACGTCTTAGCGTTCGCGCAAAAACCGTTGTCACACAGCGTCGGGTCGGAGGCGCCCAATCATCGATGGCAGATCGCCAGTGGCGCACCTAGCCCGCCCGCGCCCCCGCCCTCGTTGGCACGAACTGGGCCGTTTTAGCCTTTCCTGGTCAAATCTAGCGAGTTTTCAGCTGACGTTCAATGCCCGATGCCCCAATCGGGACGCTCTGGGCCTTGGCTTTTGGCTATGGAGAAATGGTTTGGCAGGGCCCCTGGCAGAAATACGGCACTCTCCGCGATTGTGTGATCCTCGCCGCCGGGGCAAACGTTGGGTATGAAATACCTACATACTTGCTGCACAGTCCGCGGATAGTGCTTACTGTGTGTATAAGTGTCGTTAATGATCTCATACGGAATTACCCATCACGTCTCCTGGGAGCCTTATGTCTGCTCGATATCTCTTCGTCCCATCCTCCGCACGTCCTTCTAGTAGGCAGGGTTGTATTGAAATTCCTGTTAGTCTTTGCTCGCATGGCCATACCACCAGAACACGCTCCCCCTTCCCAAGGGAATGGGAGTCGGGAGACGGGAGACGGGATGGGCTCGCACGATGCAACGTCTTAGGTGTAAGTGTGGGCTCCTTGTGCCTACT